TTTCGATTCTCGTTTATAGGTTAGGAACGTGGATGTCTGTGCCGTCGCTTACTGTATATAGTGTAAATATAATCTGAATAAAATCTCGTTTATAGCATCGAGCCGCCTTTTTCTTCACGATTGTGAGAATCGATCCGAATGTGAACTCCATTCTTACAAATCGAAAGCTTGGACTCACCACGATGACGGAGGATATTAAATTTCATTTCTACGCGATCGCTGAGGAAGGAGCGGATAAAAAGACGACTGTATACAAGTTGAAATGGCTCAAACCAGTAGATACGAAACTATACTACGAATTACCCGTAGAATTACAAAATCTAAGCAACCATCCTGAGATCTACGCAATACAGAAGGTAAAGAACGTTCTATCTGCAATTAAAACCCGCGGAGCTTACCGTACTTTTACGCTCACATTACCACCGGAGATAGTAGCATTATACACCGACGACGATGGAGATATAGTATATAAAGGGAGTTACTTAAAAGCAACTACGACACCTGAATACGATATAAAGACCACAAAAAAAGGAAAGGAAGAGGACATATCCACACTTTTGCAACAAATAGTGTCCGCTACAAAGAAAGAAACATCATCAGAATCAACATCAAGAAAGAATCTAAAGAAAATACGTGAAGACTTCGTACTAGAAAATTTCGATGGAAAAAACTTTCCGATAGCAAGCTGGTTTCAAACGTTTGAAAAAGAATGTGCGCGATGCCAGATTACATCAAACGAAGATAAAATTCTAATATTGCGTTTATTCTTGAGTGGGACAGCTAAAGATTGGTTTTCTTCGAAAATAATTACAATAGGTTTAGATGTAGACTTTGAGACATGGAAAAAAACATTTCTAGATAGTTTCCGAGAAACAGGTTGGCACAAACATAGAGAAGCATATTCTTTTCGGTATATTGGTGGTAGTTTAGTAGACTATGCTTTACGAAAAGAGAACTTTTTAGTCAACATTCGAAATAATTTTCCAATAGACATACTAATCGATTTAATTGTAACAGATCTACCAATAATGATACAGGATAGGATCGAAAAAACAAAGGTTACATCAATGGAGGATCTATTAACGGAGTTGCGGAAACTAGAGAGTTTAGCACAAAGAAGAAAAACATTTTCTAACGCAAACGCTTTTAAAAACACTGAGCAGCCCACTGTAAAACACAATCCAGGAACTTCAAATTCAAATCAAAAGAACCAAACACAATCATCCACTAGTACAAATGCAGAAAGAAAACCTTGCTCATATTGCGATAAGAAAGGTTTTCCAGGAAGATTTCACCCGGAGGCACTATGCAGGTTAAAACAGAAAGAACAGATGGAACAACCGAAAAATATCAAGACTGTGAATAATGCCGCAGTTCAAAATACATTGAACGAATCCATAACCGACCAAAAAAACTAGTTCTGCTACCGCTGATAACGTTAGAGGTATTTCTAAATAATAATAAAATACAAGGAATTTACGATCCAGGCGCAAATGTAACTCTTCTGAACTCGAAGATTATCAACAAAATGGGTCTGACTACACAAAAAGATAGAAATACTTTCAAAACTGTCAGTGGCAGGAAAGACTTTGCAGGCAAGCTATCTGCAAAAATAAGAATCCATAAAATAGAAAAAACAGTGGAGGTTTTTGCTGTCGATGATGAGAACTTCGAGTATGATATTCTACTCGGTCTCGACACAATAAAGAACTTCTGTCTAAAACAGGACTACGACCTTAAAATTTACCAGAAAATAAATTTGGAAAATAAAGAAGATAAAATTAAAGATTTTAATATCAACGTAGAAAATCAAGAATATTTGGTAAACTTTAATGAAGGCATCCCGGTCGAGCAATTTAAAGCAAAACTAGATCATCTATCAGAAGAAAAAAAGAAAGTTATTCAAACCTTGATAAACAAATACGAAACAATTTTTGCCAAAAATAAATTTGACGTCGGCCAAGTTAAAGACCATGAGGCACATGTAAAACTTCTGGAACACAAATTTGTGGCAAAAAAGCCGTATCGATGTTCCATACTAGATCAAAAAGAAATAGAATATCAGATCAAAGAATTATTAAAAGCAGGATTAATTGAAGAATCATGCTCCCCTTTCGCATCTCCCGTCACACTTGCGTACAAACGAGAAGAGGGAACGAGAACAAGAATGTGCATTGACTTTCGAGAGTTAAACAAATTACTTATATCGGAACCTCAACCTTTTCCCTTAATAGAGGAGATTATAGCTAAAACTCGTGACGCAGAATGGTTCTCTACATTGGACATAAACTCCGCTTTCTGGGCGATTCCTCTACGGATCAAAGACAAATACAAAACTGCATTCGTAACACAAGATGGTCATTGGCAATGGAAGTGTTTGCCATTCGGTCTAAAGACATCTCCTGCAATATTTCAACGAATACTAAGCAACATCATTCGAAGAAACAATCTGGACTCCTTTTGCATAAATTACATTGACGACATCCTTATTTTCTCAAAGTCTTTCGAAAAGCATATGGAACATCTGGAAAAATTATCACAAGCTATCTGCAAAGAAGGATTCCGATTAAAATTCATTAAATGCAATTTCGCGAAAAACGAAGTAAAATATCTCGGTCATGTAATATCAAAGAATACGGTACGTCCATGGGAAGATAATTTAAAATCGATTAAAGAATTCCCAATACCAGACTCCCGAAAGAAAATTCGTCAATTTCTTGGGAAAATAAATTTTTATCATAAATACATTGAAAATTCTGCACGACTTTTAGAGCCACTACAAAACTTACTCAGGAAGGATACTCAATTCTCATGGTCAGAAGATTGCCAAAGGGCATTTACGAAAGCTAAGAATTTATTGTGTTCACAACCGATACTAGCCATTTTTGATGTAAACGCACCAACAGTTATCTATACGGATGCCAGCATAGAAGGTATTGGAGCTGTGCTAAAACAAAAACAACCAAATGGAGAATTAAAACCGATTGCCTTTTTTTCAAAGAAATTAAACAAATATCAAAAAAAAAAGAAAGCTATTTTTTTAGAATGCCTCGCTATAAAAGAAGCCATTAAGTATTGGCAGTATTGGCTTATCGGGAAGAAATTTTTGGTTATAACCGACCATAAACCACTGGAAAGTCAAAATATTCGATCAAGAACGGATGAAGAATTAGGAGACATGACGCATTTCCTGTCGCAATTCGACTTCGAAATTAAATACGAACCCGGAAAAGACAATATAGAAGCGGATTGTCTTTCACGTAATCCTGTTCTCTCTAATTTAGATAATTTAGAAGAACATGTGAGAACAGTAAACTTTGTCACTATCGAAAACATAAAACAAGATCAACTTTCAAATAAAGATCTAGAGAAAGATTCAAAAAAGATCCTAATCGAAAACGGAATATATTATAAGTTAAAGGGAGATAAAAAACGAATAATAATTTCAGAAGAATTTGGAAAACAACTAATTTTGAGAATTCATAAAGATTACAAACACATTTGTAAGAACAAGATTATAGACAAGTTAAAACACTCCTATTATCTGCGGAATATAGATAAAACAACGAAACAAATTTGCGAACGCTGTGAAATTTGTTCCAAAAATAAAACCCGAAGTAGACACTACGGCCTTCTATCCAAACTCGGTCCACCAAGAGAGCCATTTGAAATTGTTTCTTTGGACATAATTGGAGGATTCGCCGGAAACAGATCAACTAAAAGGTACCTACATCTTTTAATAGACCACTTCACTAGATATGCCTTCATACTAACATCGAAAAATCAGACATCCGAAGATTTTACAAAATTGATAGAGAAAATCCAAGACAAACATCAAATAAGGACACTACTTATTGATCAATACAGCGGTATTAACTCGAACTCATTTAAGAACTATTTAAAGAACCAAAATATAAATCTAATTTTTACGGCAGTAAACTGCCCATTTTCCAACGGACTTAATGAACGACTCAACCAGACTCTTGTGAACCGGATCCGATGTAGAATAAATGAAACGAAGTCTCGAGCATGGTCGAAAATCGCG